CCAGCATGGCTGGCTGGGGAATTCTGGGAGTTGAGGTCCGCACATCTTCAAGCTGCCAAGGTTGAGAAACACTGCCCTAGATTGTATTTTCCCTTAAACCACCTTTTCCTTTCCTTACTTGCTGTTGTGTTTTTTTAGCCTAAAAAATGTTGGGCTGTTCTAATGACCAGCAGAAAGGGGTTACAGTCACACAAGGTCCAAAGCATTTAGTCCAGTTTGTTCGTTCATTTTTTGAAGCGTGGCTATTGAGTCCAATCAGCTTCAGATGTGGAACGCTGTGTATATTCTGTATATATACACCTGCGTACACACACTCCTGCTGTTTATAGAATTTGTATGAATTTAATAAATAATAAGAAGAGGAAAATACACTTTCTGCATCGTAGTTCCCCAATATTTTGTTAACCCTGAGAAGTTTTGAGGACTGCCGCCTAAGCCAGGGGTGAGTGAGAAAGAACTTGCAGGCACCACAGAAACGTCCCTATTCCAGATGCCAGGAGCATCTGCAGAGGGACAGTCAAAAAAGTCAAGATGGTGGCTTTTGTGGGGAGGGGCTTCAGCTGCACAGTTGCAGTCACCATCTTGACTTTTTTTTTACTTTTCCGACCCTGCTTTCACCGTGGCCCCTGTCAAATGCTGTTGGTAGAATCCCACACTTAACCAAAAAGTAATAAAATTAATTCTTAGACTACGACAAGAAAAAAGATCTCATGAAACGTTGGCATTCCTGCCTGAAATTGTGTAATATTTTGAGTAAGGACCTCAAAACCCTGCACAGCTTTAACTAATGTTAGCTTTTGATTAATTCATTTTCCCAGTGGTCTCCTGCATAGATGCCCCGCTAACCCCACCCCTAACCCAGACCCCAAATTGGGAACTCTGATTTCACTGGGCCCTGAGAAACTGACTAGAATCAGTTATGAAACTGACTGGATCAGATCCACCTAGGAAAAAAAAGGACCATGCAGGACTGAGCATTCAGTTCCCAAATTTGCTTTGAAGTGAAGGGGGGCACATGTAGCCCCTGCCTGCACCTCTTTAAAGCAGCTGCATTGTGATGGAATGGAATTATGAAGGCCAGGCTCAGGGAGATAAGCATTTTCTTAGCTCACCACAG